AAAGGCTCCGTGGCTACGGGTCCCCAGTAACTCGTAACCTAAATATCCAACCAAAATATCAGTTTTTAATAGCTCTCCCACAGTGTTGTTGGCTGTTACAGTGTGACTTTTTTTATGAAACGTAAAGAGTCTTTAAAAATGCTGATGACCCTTGGGCGTAGCTGCATGGAGTTATTATCTTATGAAACCATTTATTAAAGGTGACAGCAAAGCTTATTAGCTGGCTTTGATCTTTACCTGAGCATAAACAAATGGGTTACCCATGCATAGTGCATTAAATTCTTTACACACACCAGAAAAAAAAAGTTTAAACCCCAGCACATAATTTTTCATTGTATGTGTATTGAAAAAGTACATTTGATGGGAATCAAGATAAAAGGCAGGTTTCATTAGAACTTTTCAGAGACCAAACTCGACGGCAACAGAACATACCTGAAATGAGACAGTGCTTGCTCTGACCGTGGGACACTGGAAATGGGTCTTCGTATTCTGCTCCCTTGAATTTGTTAGCACTGGGTTGTTCCTCAGCGGTAAAAACACACAGCCCAGCGTGTGAATGGCTTTTCTTCACTGAAGTAGTGAGCTCAGGCTTTAGAGAGCCAAAGGGTGATTTTCTGCCTCAGAATTTGTTGCCATCCTCTACATTTTTAGTACTGCCAAGCCTGATCCCAGTTTTTATAGCAATATCAAAGAACTGCTCCATGTGATATGCTGCCACTCCTCTGCAGCTGCTGACAATGGTGTATATAAAAGGGACTGATACATTAGGGCGGTTTCCTTGCTCACCTGTACCAGCTCGGTCAGAAATCTACACAAGTGCATCAGCTTGCAAGGCTGTTGCAAAGCCTCTGAACTGTGGGGATCAGCAAGGCTGGGCAGGGGTCACAGTAGGAGTCTTGTTGTAGCAGAGAAAAGTCTGGGGTGGTAGGAGGCCAAAGTTTATCCATTTTACAGTGGTAACAAAGTAATAATTGGATTAGCTTTATCATCTAACTCTAAAATTTCTTGAAATTAAATATAACTTCTACTATCCCCTCACCTCCATACCTACTGGAAAAGTAAAAAGCATCCATAAGACACATGTGATTGCATGACAGCTCCTGAAAAGGCAGTAAGTCCCCATGCACAGTGCCCTTTTCCATTAGATGCCTTCTGGCATGCCAGTGATTTCAGTCTGAACATGCTGAAATGTTTCACTCATGAACTATAAAATACTGAAAAATATTGGTTTGGCATGAATAACTGGTGAATCATCAGCATTTGTAATTGTTTGGGGGTATGGAGCTTGGCTTATTTGTATTCTGGTTTCACATGAGAACATTGATATGAAACAGCAGTAATTGAATCTGATAAGCTCTGGTGAGCTTTTCTCCAGGAGAGGAGGTATGATTTAGAGAGAGATATAAGAGTACAGAAGGAATTCTAGAAGGATGCACAGAGAGTTGAAGGTTGCCTCACATTACAACTCATAGATTTTATATACTCCAGAAATGAGTGATCATCATCTCAGGTAAAGCTAATTACCTCAGACATTATGATTCTATCTGCTATGAGAAGGATGAAATTCAAGGTGTTCCCCTCTCTTTTTTTTTATTTTAAATTAATTGCCTGTCTATTTAAATTTTCTTTGAAAATACAGGAATCTTAGATAGCATAAGATTCCAGTCCATGAGCCTTTGGTGGTGAATGTTGTTTCTCCTTCAGTCTGTGTTCAGGCACAGGCTTCATGGGATGGTTGTGTTGAGAAGTTCCATAGTTCACAGGAAACTGGGCAAGATCAGACCTGTGGTGTGATCCTCCGTTCTCTCCAAACTTCAGTGACTCACTGAGAGAGCCCCTGGTTACAGATTTGGGTTGCACTTTTAAATTTCCCCTGCTTGGCAAATTCACAGCCTATAAAGGGCTGGTTTTGTCTTAGCCCATGAAAGCTGAACTCAAAAGACAGACAGACAAACTCCAAGGAAAGAGCATGTTCTGTGGGTATAGTCATCAATCCTATAACCACAAAACTTGGGAAAAGTAGGTGCGAGAAAAAATTGGAGACAGAATCTGGCAAGTAGTGAGAAAAATTGGCAAGACTTGAAGAAAGTGCAGTCCCTTCTCCCAGAGTGCTTCATGATCTCCAGCGGACAGCTGTGTCTCAGCATCCTCATGGCAGCACCACCTCCAGGAGACTCAATCATCCCAATAATTTTTGACCTTTCTGCAGCACTCACAGAAGCATTTGGGATGCATTCTCAAAAGTCTTCAGCCTACACCTGCTTGGCACATCTGAGAAAAGCAGGAGATGAAGATGTACACTGGAACTAGACCTTTGTACACAGCGAATCCTACAGTCTCCAGGGGCTGCAACCTGAATAAACACAGCCCTTCTCCTCACCCATAGGTTGCTATGAAGCCATCCTGCAGACTTCCCTAGTGAGCTGTGAAGAACAAGAATCTCCTTGCCATAAAGTGCTAAAAGTTGCATTATTGTCCAAAAAAACTTTTAAGATTCAGAAAGGAGCTTTAGAAAGCAGTGCACAAGGTATTGTGTTCATCCTCTTAGCATCCTCAGTTATAAGAAGGAGGCTTTCAGTCTTCATACTCTGAAGGTCTCTTCACGTCTCTTAGAGAGAGACGGGGAGGCTCCTCTGCAAAATTTGCAAGATGTGTCACTGATACTTAAATTTATCCCCAGATTCACACCTTGTTCCCAGGGACAGTAAAAAAAATAAGGAACCAAAAAGCTTAGGAAGAAGAAGCTATAGTTTGCCTATTTGTTTGGCAATACCTGCTACAACATTACAGATCATCCATTTCCCTCTTCATTCCCTGTATTGAGACTGAACTTTTTTTTGAATTTCAAACCAAGATGAAAGCAAAGTGGGTATCACACCATACTGAAAACAGGGGAGGAAATTCTTCAGCAGAAATAGTGCTTCAGTCATTTTTCATAATTAATTTTTGTTGGCACACAAGATGATGCACTGTACAAATTGTTATAGTTTCTTCCTCTTCTTCAAGTTATAATTAGGCTTGTAAACACTAATTTATGTTTAATTTTTGCAACCAGCCTCTAATGGAAAGACTAGAAATAGAGTGACCTGGATATCATTAACTTTTTTTGCACATACAGCCTTTGTATTTCCACACAGAACTGTTGGTTGCAGTAAGACCTGGCCATCTACTTAATCTCTTCTTCCTCCTTTATTTTTTCTCTCCCTATTGTTTTCTCTAACATTTAGGTGAACTGAAGGAGCTAAATATCTGGGGAAAGGGTGGTTGTTGGGGGAAATTCTTGACTTCCACGAAGTTTAGGACTTAGACAACATTGTGCAAAGCTCCATCAGCAAGGGAGCAAATGCTGAAAATCCAGATAGATAATCTATCTGTCAAGTTTTTATAATTAACCCACTTACACTTCTTGGAAGCTATTAGTATTGGTAACTCTTAATTGCTCATCTCTCTGCAGTACCAGATTTCACTTACCTGAATTAATTCTCACTTGTCCTTGATGCTGACCTGCACACAAATTGCTATCATGTTTAGGTGTAGATAGACTTTATTTGCACTACTCCTCTTACTTATTCTCAATTTACATATGATTTGCAAACTCTGAATTTTGCCTTGAATTTTTATTTCACGTGGCCTTAGACTGCAGCTGAAAGCTGAAGTTTTCCTTGATTTTAAGTGACAGCCAAAGAAGAGTTTTGGTTTGCTTGGGAATTTTTGTGGGGTTTTGTTTGTTGTTTTTGTTCATTTATTTCATTTATTAAGTGTTCAGTTGTTTGTATGTTTCCAAACAATATTCTCATTTGTCTCAAATATTGGCCTCAGCTTGCTTGAAACAAAAGCTCCAACCATTTACTGGAAAACTAGCTGTGTGCTTATTTAAAACTCAGTCTGAACTTGCCTGAAATCCAGTTCCAATTCTTTCTGAAACCTGACTTGTAACTCTGAAGTTCTGAAAATATGACCACTCTTTCAGGACACAGGCCTCATTTTGAATTTTAAAAATGGTGTTTGTGCCTGTGTTTAAAATTCAAACCTATTCTCCTATTAATGAGGGCATAACGTTGGAGCCACTTGAAATTCTGGGTTCAAATATAGGCTGGCTCAATATAGACAGAACACTTTTAAAACCACCATCCTCAAAAATCCATATACAGAACTTTAAATGCAGCAGAATCACTCACTTAATTTTAAGCACATTTGCAGATTATAGAGTACTATGGTGTGATTTGCCCCATTGCAGTGAAGCTCTTTGATCTGAGGTTCAAGCCCAACTGCAGATGTGCTGGCACAGCAACAAGTACAGGTCTCTGTAGCAGACATTCCACACTCCACCACCTCACGCTGCCAACCTGGGATACCAAACCCAGCAGCCACAGGGGCTACAGGCTGGCTCATTGCAGAACCACGCTCTACACTGTCACACCCTACTGATACAGCCACAGCCCAACACAGACTGTAAATGTGACCCATATGGGTCTACTTGGACTTTCTTTTAATTATAAGGATTTTCACTTTTTTACCTCAAGCTGCAGACGAAATCTGGGTAGATATTCCCTTTTTGTAGCCACCACTTAGATGGAAAAATAACACGAAGGACAGGATTTCATAGCTGCTTTGATTCAGTAAAGGAAATGCTCAATGTGAGTAACAGCATCCTTAATCAGCCCAGCCCTTGCACTCAGTTCAAAATACCTTGAAGTTAAATCAGTGATGAAGTAAGGCCTTTGTCAAGTTTAGCAGCCAAACAAGAAAGGCAGTCTAGCTGTGTTGACATAATCCATTATTTCAGTGAGGGCTGTGAGACACGAAACAGGTTTGGAAATCCAGTATCTTCACAATAGATGGGCTATTCAACATACTAGTAAATTTAAGCTATTGGATTTTGTGGTAGTTACATCAGTCCTTTTGTCAATATTGAAATATTCTTCAGTACTGAAAGAATTCATACTGGTCACTTTCCATCTCAAGACACAAAAAAGGGAAGATAAACATTAATCAAAACATTTCTTTCATGAGTGTTTTATTTGAATTTATATAATATCCACAAAAATAGAAACAGTCTTTAGAACCATTTTGTGAATATATAGTCTCCAAGCTCAGATTTACAATGGCAATAGTCAAATATCTAACTTGGATTTGTTTCCACACGTAGACATTGAAGATGATGCTTTGAGAAGCAAGCAGGAATTATGCAATGTGCTGCAGAAAGAAAGACGAAAATGTAACTAAACTTTTTAATGTCTATGTAGTTCAACAACCTACATACAGTCTATCGGGATGTTTTTAGTGAAAGCTGCTCAAATTTTGTGCAGAAAATATTGAAAATGCTCATGCCAACACCTTTGACATTGTGATTTGCATGTAACTCTATAAATACAATATATTTTCCTATCTAGAACTTTATACATATGAAAAATTATGGTACAATAAAAATCTATACACATGGTGCTACCAGTTCAGCAGCAGCTAACTTAAAGGAGACATCTGAAAATATGATTGCTCAGCCTCTGAAATATAAAATATAAGAGCAATCAGAAATGCTTTTTGTTTAAATAGCAATTTACATTAAAGTTCATCTCTTCATTTTCTCCGTTTGCTTAGGTCTGGTAAAAAGACTCCCTTTGGTTGGTTGCATCTGTCCTTGGCAAGAACTGTAATTTTAAACAGTCCTTTGTGTTTGTCTTAGGCAAAGGCTAATATATTTGTAAAACAGAGTAAATGTCGGCTGTCTTCTATTCCAACTTTGTGCTGTTGTAATGCTGAATGACAAGTACCTAGTCTGAAAAGTTCTGTGGAGTGGAAAGAGAAACTTGCACGATTTCCACGTGCTGAAAGATGGGACAGTGGAAGACTCATTTATACTGCACCCCAGCATAAATCACTCTCTAGATTTGTACAGTATGCTTCTAAATAAAGCCTTATCTTTCAAAACCTTTAGCTGCAGCTCAGCAACAAAATGGTGACCCTCATGTGTCACTGGCTCATTTTATCTCCCAAGAAATTTCATGAGAGATAAGGTAAAAAGCAGGTTTGTGAAGGTATTATAATCACTTGCTGTAGTATATATGTTAACTGAGATAAGGTACAACTATACTGCAGATCTGGGATGATACCACTGATTTCAGATTTTCACCCAAGGTGTGGATTGGGAGGTGGTGTGAAGAGCATGGAGCAAAAGGCTACAAATAGTCATCAGGTGGGAGGGAAGAAATGGTCTTAGGAGCAAAGTGAAAGTTCCCTCCTCATCTGGTGGCCTGATTCTTGTTATATGAACTACAAAATTATGGTAAAGGAAGTGGAATGTAGCAAATTAAACTAAAAAAGGAAATTAATTGAGTTGCGTGAAAGCAAGCAAGACTAGCACAGTCAGTCAAAAAGAAAAAAGAGACTCAAAGAAAAAAATGCTTTGAAGTACACAGGCTTATTATTTGATTTGTAAATAAGATGAACCTCTCTCCACCCAGGTTATGAAAAGTAAAAATTGTCATGTATGGGTAATTGATGGTGACGGCTCTGGCATACACAGTGTAGGAGGTGGTGTTACTGTTTAACATGCCCTACATGTGTAGATAACAAGTTAGGCTCTCATGTTTGCCCACAAATTGTTGCTAAGCACATTTTATACCCTTTATATTGATACTTCTGTTGTCTCTTGGTTTCATCTCTATTTCCTTTCAATACAAACAAAAAATGGAATATCCTGCAACCTCCAGCTGTACCTTGCTGAATTTCAAGCTAATATAGATTCAAACCCAGGGGACTCCTGAGAAAATGAATATTGGATGGATTTAATATTCTTAATCCTAATTTTTTTTTCTTCCTTTTTTTATCTTGGACTTCTCAGTCCTTGTTATTGTTTTCCAAAGTCCCCATCCCTGAAAAAGTGAGTTTGTATTGATCCTGGTTTCACCTCTGTTAACATCACCAAGAAAATCCTGTTCTTCAACTCCCACATCTAATGTACTCAGTGACCTGGTGAAGCGCTGCCTCCTCTAGATTTTATTTCCCCATGTCCTGCATGTGGTTGGTGTCAGCAGGAAGTATTTGTGGAGAGAGAAAGAAAAACCTGCCAATGAACATACAATCTCTGCACAGCACTGCTAGAGATGAGCCCAGAGTACTGACCCAGATCTGAATGTCCCCAAAATCTCAGTGTCTTTATGTTGATGGGTTTTTCTCCAACTGAGAATTCCAAACACAATTGACAAATACAACTACAATACAGAGTTAGACTTGAGAAAAGCAAAGGGAAAACTAGTATTTTACACACACAGGGTATTTTGCATTTCTCAAAGGTTTTTTGAAAGTATCTGTCCAAGTGAGACTTGACCTGCCAGGAGGACCATACAATTTGAAGAAACTGCAGAGACCACTTCCTCATGCCATGGGATTCACATATGTTCTGCTTGCCCACCCCCTCATGGTTCTGTATGGCACGGGTTTGAATGCTTTAATTAGGAGTGCAAGAGCATGAGAGGACTATCAACATTCCTACCAGGAAACCAGTGCCTTTTGGTAAGTTTGCACAATCAGAAAACAATCATCTTCCTTCAATATCTTTTGGTCCCCAAGACTGACCCTCTTCCTACAGTTCACCTCAAAGATATCAGTTAAAAACAAATAGCCCTTTTCCTGGGATGAGCTGGATGCTCTGTGGAGATTAGGATACTCCATAGCAGGTAAGGTCTGGTCCTAAACTTCTGCTTTGAAAAGAAGATCACAGTGCTGGAGGTAGTATGGGTTCTCAAAAAAAATGCTGGTAGCCACTTTGCAGAGCCACTGCTCTCTGTGGCTGTGATAGACCAACTGAAGAGGAACCCACTGTCTAATTCAACAAGCAGCTGAAAGCCAGCAAAGCATTAAAACACTCAGAAATCAGAGAAAGGAAGGAACAAGTGGTATTGGCCAATGAAAGCTATAAACCAGCTGCCTGTGGAAGAAGGCTACTTGGCTCAGAGATGCTTTACTGTTTCCTCCACTTGTAGTTGCCTTCCAAAGTGGATTATCTAACTCCCTAAATGCCCTAGTATTTAGCTCCTTCCCTTTCTTTTAATGACTCATAAATCACATTATGCCTGTATGATTTAAAAAAAAATAAAAAGAGGAAAACTTCACAAAAAGGGAAAAATAATCATAATTCTATAAGGTTAACTTACATCACAGAAAACTGTGTACATTTTTTCCCCATACAGGACATACTTCAAATAAAATAATTTTAACACCAGTGATGATAATGTTCGTTCTTCCCAACAGAAGTAGAATTGTTTTTTCACCCCAGTTTGGTACATAAATATAAGAAAATAGTCTTTGAATATTTACATCCATGTGTTTTAAATGTTATTTCTTGATATATTTAATTCTCATTTTCTCTCCAACCACGGGCATTCTTTCCAAATTTATATACTAATCTCCGACCATCCACACGCTCCAGGATTTCTCTTTTGTAATAGTATCTGTTAAAATAAAAACACACAAAAAAATTTAAGAGTAAATTCGCCTATGGTGCTCAAAGGCCACTGCCAAGTAGACAATCCCTCGGCTGCCTTAAAAAGTCTTTATTTTCTGTTGAGAGATATATATAATACATAAGATCATCATAACTGAATGACAGAGAAGGAAAAACAGAAGTCTTCTTTTTACTTTATATTAATTAGCTTCTGAGTTTGAAGTTCACCATATTTAAGGTCAAAGCATATTGCTATATTTATCACACAGTCTTATGAGGTTCCATGGGGGTTTATTTCCAGATAAGCCAGAATCTGAAATCAAACCAGGAAAAAACCTCATCTTCCATTTATAAATACCTTTTGAACTTCAAAAGATTATGGAAAAATGCTCAAAATGTTAAATCAAAAAGGAAAGAAAGTTCTAACATAGAATTTATAAACCTATTTTAGGATGATGGGTCTAAGGTATGACTAGTTTCTGAACATTGCTGAAAATAACAAGGTCTCTGGCCGTTACTGGGATATTTAAGCCTTCCCAGTTCAGTAGTAGCTTTCTGCAACAAAGTTCCCTTCCTACTTCCTTTCCTTCCTTTATATATATATATATATATATACACACACATATATATATATAAACATTTATGTCATATATACTATAGGATACAGAAACAGGAGGGGAATAAAAGTCAAAGAAGAACATAACCCTACAATCTCAAAATTAGTTGGAGAGATTTAGCTGTCAAAGAAAGCAACTGATGCTGGTGACAAATCACTTTTGAAGTCAAACAGATTCTCCATTCAGTTAGGGTGTTTATGTGTTGCAGGCTTCCTCAGCAATGTTTCAGCTCACCTCATAGCCCGGCTGAGTTTCTCGTAAGTCATGCTGCTGTTGTTTTTCTTCTTTCCCCAGAGCTGAGCCACAGCTTCAGATTTTAAAAATCTGAAGACACCTTCTGACCGGTCTTCCCACTTGATTAATCCTGGGTTTTTCTCAGGATTGAGAAGAATATCTCGAATAAATTCCCAAAGATGAGTTCCTCGAGGGTCTGAAAGAGGAAAGGAGGCAGAAAGAAGGAGTGTCTCAGGAGCTTTCTGGGCTATGCTTGCCATTTTTATGTCATCTACAGAGGGTGAACACTCAGTAGGGACAGGCCATAGTCCTGGAGTGCAGGACCCCCGTTTCAGAGATATATAGGCAAAAAGTACTGGCAGGCCTTACACTGAGGGTGCAGGTAAGTGTTGGCCTCGGGCAGTCTGAGCCCTTTGACAGGCAGGTAGGAGCCCCGGCAACCAGAGAAAGCAGAGTCCAAACCACCCACTGCTTCCTTCTGCCTTCGGCACTGTTTCTGCCCTGAAGAGATCATGTTTAAGCCTTCCCCTCATCTCATTTGCCCATTTTTCCTGCTACTCTTCTACAGCACAGCATCTAACCTGATATTATTATGTGGTACATGAAACAGCCAAGATTACTGTGAAGCAGGCACTGAACCTCCATGGACTTGACAGAGAGAAGCACAGGAGGTGAAATGCCATTCCACATGAATAAGTAAGAATGTGTAAAGTGGATAGGGGGACAGTGACAAAACTGGTCAGCCAAAATCGTATGTGAAAAGCATATTAAAAAACTTGAAAATGGTATAGAAAAGGCAAAAACGGATCTGCAAGTTCAGTAGGTAGACCTCCCAGTTTAAACACAAATACATCCCACAGTTACTATAAAGATGGTACCAGAAAGCCTAGGTCAAAAAGAAAAGAAAAGACTTAAAAAATGGAACAAATCAGATTAAATAGTTTATGAATGAAGAATAACAAACTAAGTGACAAGGTTAGCCAGAAAGACAGCAGTCCTTTGGTCTGACTTCAAAAGTATGCAATTAGACCAAATTAAGAAGGAAAGAAGCTAGTCAAAGACGTGAAGGTAACTCAAAAATGGTATATATAGTGCAACATAAGTAGAAAGAGATTTCAGTCAACTAATCCAGTATTTTCCTATGCCATTGTAAGTGTTTTCTAAAACCATTAAAGTGTAGTGGACCTAGTCTATCTGGACATCAGTAACATACTTAATCATCATGATAAAGAGCAGTACTGAAGAAACAAGAAATGTAAGGGATTAACCCAGACTGCCAATGTGACCTGTTCTGTATGTGAAGGCTGTGACTGAGTTCTTAGAATAGTAGAATATCTCAAGTTGGAAGGTACCTACAAAGATCATCGAATCCTACTCCCCGTTCTTCACAGGACTTCCTAAAACCAAGCCATATGATTAAGAGCATTTTCCAGATACTCTCCTAGCTCTGTCAAGCTTGGTGCTGTGACCACGTCCCTGGGGAGCCTGTTCCAATGACTGCCCACCCTCTGGGTGAAGAACCTTTCTTTATTGTCCAATCTGAACTTTCCTTGTCACAGCTTCGTTCCATTTTCTCATGTCCTACAGGTGACCATCAAGAGAAGAGATCAGCCCTTTTGAGGAAGCTGTAGGCAATGAGGAGGTAACCCCCCAGCCTTCCCTTCTCCAAGCTGAACAAGCCAGGAGACTCCAGTTCTTCACAGGTCCATCTTGAGATCAGTCCTATCCAATCCTTTCATTAACAACTTTATTATCCACACAGATAAAGAAACAAGATATCTGTGTGCAGATATAAAGTTTGGGAGTTCTGTTTGGGCAAAATGACAGAACAGTGTAAGAAGAGGAGTCAGCAAGAGACATAATCTGGGGACCATATCAAAACAAGATGAAACTGAATACCATGAAATGCAGTGATGGACCAATATTAAGCTTTTCTGTTATAAATAGGGAATTGCACAGGACGCATAAAAATCTCAGTAAAGTACATTAATGGAACTATGTAGAGAAATCACAATTATGCTATCTTGTCTTCAGAGTCTGTTCGAATAAAAACTAGCAGAAAACACAGCTGAGAGCAGTGGAAAGAGAGTTGTATTAGAGGAGAAGAAGGTGGCAATATTGAGGGCCAGGTGCTTGCTTGTGATGTCGTGCATGAAACGTTCTGCAAGGAGATGCTGAGCAGGGTCTGTGGTGGATGCTGCACCTGGCAGGCACAGGCATGAGCATGACTGTGCCCACGCACGGACCTTCCAGATTTAATCCCAAGTCTTCCTTATCATTCCTTTACTTCATTCCACCAGCCCAGCTCAACACAGGGCAGAGGTGGCTGATTTCTGGTTGCTTCCCCATAAGCCCTCATTCATAAAAACTATTTGAAAAATTTAGCAATATTGAGTCAAAAACAATGTAAACAAACAGTACTAGACGGTCGTATCCTTGGAGAATTCAATCACAATAGTGATCTAACCAGTTTTGCTTTCAAGATGCTTCCTCTTCCCTCCCAAAGAGGATTTGCTTTTCATGTGTTTCTTTTTCCTTCAATCAACTAACCAACCATTATAAACATGGATGTTGACTTACTGTGCTTCTTGGTGTGGGACTTTGGGGTATGATCTTGCGATTTTTTTGCATCTGAAGAGTCTGCAGGGAAGGAAAATGAAGTCTATTTGTAAATTTGATTAAAGGCTTTACACTGACTAGCAGGTTGAAAGAAATAAAACCACAAAAAAGAACAAATATCTCTTTTAAAGATAATCGCTTTTAGGAAGGTAATCTAAGTAAGGAGGGAGAGTTTTGTTTTCTTTACTATATGTTAATCAGCACACTTCTCAAAGAGACCATTGATGAATAAAGAATGGATGCAGAGGTAAACATTTGGCTTCTGAAACCTAAATTTGATTAACAAATACCTCACCTCATGTTATGTGTGAGAGAGAGAAAAATAAGATGATCGCATCTATAAAAGGAATCCCGAATTGTCCCATTATGTCTTAATCTTTGCAGAAGCACATATCTTTGGGGGCTTATTTGTTTCTGAAGAGATGATCTAATGTGAAATGTATGTGCTGGTACCAATGCACAGAACACCTACCTGACTAAAACATAATGAACTGGCAAAGCATTGTTGTTTGGGGGGGCAGGGTGGGGGAAAGGGGCTGCGCTAGTAGGAGTTTTTGGCAGCTGGACACGCATATATTTTTCTGTGGCTCAGAGCCATAGAAACAAGCCATTTCTCATCAATGGTGCTTTATCACCTGCAGCCAGCCAGAGGAGGAGTAGGGTTTCTGGCACAAGTGTTTCTTCAGAAATGAAAAAAAAAGTTCCGCCTGTTCATGACTGTAACCTACCTCACAGTCTGCACGTTCAACCCTCCCGCCCTCAAACCACCGCAGCCTGGCTCTGCTCTTGTTCTTAATGAATAGCTTTCATCTGATTGCTCTAAGTCTCTCAAAATCTGTGGGATAGCCCTGAGAGGGAGCCCCTTCTGTGTTTGGTTTTCAGCATACTTTGTCCCTGAATCCCATAAAGCAAAGCTTAAGGTCCCACGCATGTTTTCCCAGCTTCTATGAATGCACAATTATCATACTTTTCATGGAAACCAGGCATTTGCATGGGAAAATGACTCACAGGAAATATTTATTTGCATAGAAACTTGTCAGATCTGCACAAGCTACTACAATAACTGCATGTGAAAAGGTGGATGCAAAGTTATTCACACACTTGCTTTATTCATACATAACTGGAAACATAACCTGAACAAGTCCGTGGGGATAAACCTAACCTCTACTATTCTAAGCCTGATAAATTACTGTCCTTGACCCCCAAGCAGCAAACGTGCTCTGAGTCATTTTGCCTTCCCATTCTCAAAGAGCAGGAACTAACCTGAACCTCACTCAGCTTGGAGGGGGGTGTGGTGTGGGGGAAGTAAAATGAAGCTTATTTCACTGCCTTTCCTCACATTATGATTCTCCTGATGTTATTAAAAGCCTCTGGGAATTCCAGGTAAGGACTGCAGGACCCAGTTCTTTATTTGCCCTCATATAAAGCCTTCTCATTTTAAAATCTCACCATTCACTTGCAAATGTTTGTTATGCTCTACTTAGCTGGAGATTTATTCTTGGAAGTTCAGTTGCCTTCTGCCTACCCAGTGATTTATTCTGGATTTCAGCTGTGTAAATAGCCTCCTGCTCTGCTCCTACTTGGAGACTGGTTTCAAACAGGCCATGTTAGGAGACTGGGGCCTGACAGATGAAAAGAGTTATGATGCAGTTTCAACAAAGCTGTCTTGCAAAACTTTTGACAAAAGGTTACACATTATTTGCATATGATTCAGGAATGAGCCATTTTTTTACGGGATATACAAATTTAGTTTTTACAGGAGGCTGTGCCCTTGGCGTACCACCCTAGCTCTAGGCTTAAGCATTCAGTGGATAAATACACCATGCCAGGATCTGGACAAGTCCCCAACCCTGTCAAAGAGCTCTGAAATCCTGGTAACCATCTTACGAGAGTGGGTGGAGATGACAGAGAAAGCAAACAGAGTGTTTGGTTGGGTATTTCTAAAGGTTTGGCCGTTTTCTTCTTCTGGTCAGCTTTTCTCTCTCTCTATATATATATATATATTTCAATTTATAGCTGAGTGTATTAGTTTAAACTGTATATCATTTGGCAAGTCCAGCTGGGCTGGGAGAAGCAGTGAACTGTCAGGAACAGCGTCTGTGACTGCTGTACACATGCAGAAGCACGGGTTGCCCCCAGTGCAGAGGTAGCACTGTGAGGCTGTGTCTACAGCAATGTGCTTTTCTTTCTTATCCTCCCAGGACTTCCACTGCTGTCCCCCTCAGATCTCTTTGCTTTACAGCCTCCTAAGAAGAACCTGCCTTTCCCTCCCTGATTTCTTGCTCCCCTGCCGTCTCTACTCCTTTCCCACTGCCTTACTCTCTCACCTCCATCCCCGGCGTCTGCCCGCGGGACAGGGCCCACAGTGTGTCCTGACACGTGTGACCAGAGTGCACTTTCACCAGGCACTACAGCAAATGGGTTTGCTCTTTCTTCTGCCCTTTAGCAGGCAGAGTGTAACTCTGCCTCGTGGAAGTGAGGAGGTGTTTGGTGACCACCCTCCTGTCAGCTGAGACAGGCTCCAGCAGGAGGCCCCATTGCTGGGGCAGTGGGGCAGAGGGCTTGGTGCCTGCCCTGTGGCTTGCCTGGGCCAACCCAAAGCTTGGCCCCAAACCCAGCTACCTACTCAGCATGAGTCACTGGCTCACTAGAGAAACACGGCCACTTCTGGGGAGGAATATGGCCCTTGTTTGCCCATACCCTACTATACCGCAGAAAAGTGCAGTGTAGCTGGAATGTCTCGTCTCTCTGACAGCAACATCTACCCCTTTGACTCAGTCACTTTAAAAGATATGTGGAGATTACAGACTATGTGATCATCTTTCTCTTGACATAGAGAAGAGAGAAGCATTTCTTTAAAGCAAGTTATTGTAATAATGACAGCTAATATATCTGTCAGAATCAGCATTGCCTGGTTTAAAATTACTGGAGGCTCAGATTCAATCCAACAACAGAAGACCACAGAGACTATTACATGTCAGTAGCTCTGAGACAAGTGACGAACAATTAGAAATATAATTACAAGTTTCTTACCAGAAGATTGGTGACTAGGTGTCATCATGGAAATCTGAGCACGACAGAATGTTTTACTGTCCAATAACTCTGGGAATTAAAAAGAAGACATTTAAACTAATAGCCTCAGACAACAACAAATCCATCTCAGAAATGCATGAAGTATTGTGATGTTAGTTACCTACTGTGCTACCATAGCCACTGTCATATAGATAATTCTCTTCTTTCCAGGACACCATTAATGATGGATCTGAAAGTAAAGGACCGAAAGGGAAATCAGATCAATAAAAAACAATTTTTTAGCACAGAGGTAAATATTGAGCATTAAGGAAATTAGAAATGTGAAAGAAAAAAAAAAAAAAAAAAGGAAAAAAGAGCTGTCAAGGGAACCAAGAAGTGGAGGGGCTATGCACAAAATCATTTCCTTTCACTCAAATTATGGACAGGGTTTTGCATATTCAGGCAAATGCATTTACGCAAAGCACCGACTTTTAGAAATAATGTAATATCCTCTTCCTTTTCCTGGCTAATTTATGCCTGGCCTTGAAGGATGTTTCCTATGCCAGATCAACTTTACCCAATCCAGTCCTGAATTCTCAGTCCCTGATAATTATGACAGTGCGTTGGTGCCATAGAGATGAAAGTGTTCTCAAATATCTAGGAAAACAGAAGGATGCTTATGATGAGCATTTATTTCTATAATGGTAGAACTCGAAAGTCGTCTCTGAAACAGAACTTCATGCTTAAGCACATAGCGAGAAACATCAAAGCCTCATCCTAGATGAAGGACCATTTTATTCTAGGCAGGCACATCAAGTCCCTTTCTTAACCTAAAAACCACCTTCATGACTAAAGAGGAATAGTCTTTAGTGACTTTCTGGTCACACGGATCAATATAAGCAGAAGTATTTTCTTTATGATCTGTATGTTGATCTGGAAATTACTCTCTTTGCAGTGCATTTTTGAGGTCAGAAGTCTTAAAAAGTCTCTTTTTCTTTTGAAACCAGGTCAGAAAGGATGAGATACAAGGTTCAGATCTAGGTTACACCTAATTTTTTTCATGTTCATATAAATGAAATCAAAAAACCAAAAATGAGTTATAGCTAAATCATCATGTTTGGCTGAGTTACCACTTATGACATAGGAATTTTGCAGGCATACTAATATAATAGCTGCATGTTTGGGCACCCAGGGCTTGCGTTCCTACAGTAGCACACACCCTTTGCTTGCTTAGACACCTGATCTGCCTAATGTTACCTCTGAAAACAGTCCTTACCTAGCCAGAACATGGAGAGACAGCTTTCCTTCCTGTTTTGGCCTCTTTCAGCGTCCATGTCTTTGCAATTGTGATGGTTTACTAGAATGAGGGAGGGTCCTCCTCAAAATCACCAGCCCTATCCCTACTGGCTCATGTTTCCCAGCAGCCCCCATCCACAGTTCCTGCTCCTCCCCATGCAAAAACTAAACCCACTCCCACTGCCCATGACCAGAATCCCCAGAGCCACCAGAACCTGATTCAGCGTATCTAGGAGAACCATCCATCAGCTAGTCCTTTCCAGGATGTGCAGATGAGGTACTTTGTCCTGAACTATGTATCTCTAGTAGGAGGACTAAGTAATATTATACCAAGATCTCGTAAATCAGGACTTAAAGGATTACTGGAGTTACCTCTATGGCAAGCAGCATGGCTACTGCATGAGCATCACCCATACCGTGCAGACACCGGCAAGGAGTGGATTGCAGATTGCAAGGCTTGCCTGCTGCAAGGAGAAGGTGAATAATGTCCCTGGCTGGAGAGGCTGACTGACAGTATTTGTTGGAGATGCTGCATGCAACAAATCTTTATTTGTTACATCAGGAGATACTAAAACGTGGCTCCTGAAAACATTCACATACAAAGAGGTTGAGACTAGAGGGGTAGAGGGTGTTTGGATAAGGACAGGCAAGGACAGACAGTGCTCTGGCAAAGGAACCAGGAAAATAATTGTGCCTGAAGAGGACAGTTGAACCAAGCTGATGCTCTTTCTTCAGTGAAACAAAGTCCTGGGAGGAAATGCATCTAGCGATGAACACACTAGGAAAAGAGACTTCAGTTTCATTGAAACATATGAAGAAATTGAAATGTAATGCTAACACTTTTTTTCTCTCCAAGTGGTTTGTTTGGGAAATTTCCTAGTGTTTCAGATACTAGCAGAACTTAAAATAATATTTTTCTTTCCTTTTTTTTTTTTTTTTTTTTTAACTGGACATATTGTTAAAATAGTTGTCTTGAAATCTGGTGAATGAAACACAGAATGAAGTCTTCTACAAAGCTGCATTCATTGAGCACTACTAACGATTCCAACTCTGACCATCAGTGTAGACTGCTGGTACTGCAGAGGTCTCCCAGGAAAAGTGGCCACGTGCATGTGGTGTTACCCAAAACTTCAGATGCTGACTGACATTTGTGTTACTTCTTTAATTTTCGCATGATATACTTTCCATTTAACACCATTTTGATATCTCTCTCTTGGAATGAGCAGTTTCCCCTTTTTGTCACCATCAAAAGACAAGTTACCCAACTGTCACTCACCTGTTTGTTCTGTCTTCACAATGACATTATGAGATTGGTACATGTCACTCCCGCATTGACCTGCAAGAAAGCATATGGCAGATAAAATGCATGAGAATGAGCACAGAAGAATCAAAGATATTAGCTACAAGAAGCAACTTCTACAACTAGCCAGAGGGGAACTACACCCTTTCCTCTTGGTCCATCAGAATTCTGGCTTAAGTCCTACCTTAAAATTTAGCTTTGTAGTAAATATAGAACTATAAGCAAAATAGCAAACACAGCAACTGTGATCTGCCAGGTAGGTCTCTGGGGAATGTGAGTGGCTTCTGAAGATCTCAGAATTCAGACCACTCTGCTTGTGTCTCTGTCCAATGTCTATTTACCATTCCATTTTAGGTGCTGAAGGTTGCTGTAAAGCAGTTGCCCTGCTGTCCCAGCTGCCTGAGTGAATTCCTGCAGGCTCATACTACACAGATGTTCCCCGTTGATGTCAAACTCCTGGAAAGGTATGCAGTTGGCATCCAGTTGGTTGGTATCAAGAAGATGCTGCAGCCACTCCCAGACTTGAAACTTAGTCCAGTATTGAGGGTGTATTTCATGCCACTGGGTTCCATAGAAGCTGCTGGATACTGGAAAAGAAAATAGGCATTTACGGTCTCTGTTAGCATAATAGTCATCGACAATATGTCATCAGCAATAAAGATCTATGGCCAATTGCCTTGGAAGTCCACAGATATAGACACTTTTCTCAGTCCTTAACATTCACCTGGTAGCTATTGCTAGAGAAGGTGTTGTGGGGGATTTTGCCTCAGTTTTTGAATTAAAAACTGGAAATTATTTCATTACATATCTCTTCACTGATTTAATTTACAGGAATGAATTTAGTAACGTTGGCTAAATACACCAAAATTCTTTGATGGGAGACACCTTACAGAAGTACTGTTGAAAAGGGATGTGTGAGCAAGTAATTTTAGTGCATAAGAAAACGATGGAAAAAAATTCTCCTAATGTGACATGGAGACTTTCTTTGAGTAAGAACTTAGCAGGGAATGAATATGAATCGTGGGATTTAGTCAAAGAAGGTTAAAAGCTACGGTTCTCTCATCTTGCTCCACAGTAAAAGCCTGTCAGTACGGGCCACAGCTTCATGACTGACTTGGTATTCAGCTGAATGCATGTTACTGCTGTAGTAAGGTAAGGTGGTTTCTGAAGGTAGCTATAAAATTCATTTTTAGTTATGGAAGCTGCCTAATTTTCTTGTTAGAATGAATCTTTTCTCGTTGATCTTTCAAACTGTTCTCAGTCATATGTCGTTGCACGACAATAATTTGCGTGTGCAAATGAAAGAAATTGTAATTGGGATAGGATAATTAGATAAGATAAGAGCAAAGGCAGGACTACTTTGGTCTGCCCTCACAGAGTTCGTTGCAATTTATTTCTTGGGAAAGGAGGGCAATGGAGCATGCCAGGCAGAGGTAATGGTGTGATAAAATGTTCACAAGTGCGCAAACGGTTTAAGATTGAGGGAATGAGAGATTACAGAAGGAGGAAAGACTGCCATGGCCTAGCTCTGCAGTAGTCCCACTCCAGGATTTGGCACCAGTCTTTACCAGTCTCCCATAGAAGCAGATTAACCACACAGCTGTGAGAAATACGGACAACACCATAGATATGGCTAGAGAACCTCAAGCAACAGAGTTGGCACATTTTAGGAAATTGCTTTCCCCCAGGTGCCACTAGACCACAGGTCTCTTCAGTCGAGATACAGGGCACAATGCTAGTTCTCAGGTAAACACAAAAAAAGCATAGTTACTTAGGTTTCTTTATCAATATTATCCAACAAGGCCTGTGTCAGTAACTAAGGGAATTTGTAGGACTGTTTTTCATCCTCCTGTTGAAGGATTTGAGGAATGAGTGTGAAAATTATAAGAGTGTGGTATGTCAGAGACAATAGCTTAGATGAAGCTGCCAAATATCCCCTGAAAAGGAGGTTGATATATATTCTTATCACTTCAGAAGGGTTAAGTAATTTCTGAGGCCACCAGAATCCTAATGTAAATGAAGATACTTTAGTGAGAGGAAAAATCAGCTAGGTAAAAGTAAGTGAAGTTGTGAATTACTGTGCAGTCTGGTCTGAGCTCCCTGTCCCCCAAAACTTAAGTGAATCCTGAGGAGTTTCACACTGGAAATTTGAAAACAGACCCCCACCATTTTCCTTCACAAAATCCTGTGCATAGTGAAAGTCAGCCAGGACTTTTTTCCTGTATGAATCTGTTACAGACATGTCAGCACATTTATTGGGCACATGTTGATGTATTCCTGTGTACCTACAAAAGGCACATAAAAAAAAATAAGACTTTCATTGAGTGGGAACTTTCACTGTAAGTTCTGTTGCAGCATTATTTGGATTAGAAGGACAACTGCACTATGTGTTTTTCTGCTTAGATTTTAAGGTTTACCAGTTCACTGCATAATTAAAAGAATTTTAAAATTATATCATGCACTATATATAGAGAGAGAGGTTTATATATTTTTTCATATTGAGAAAATATATATGAATACATCTTTATAGACGCAGATATATAACCAGAAAACAGTAAGAGGGAAAAAAAATCTCAAGTCACAAGTTATCTAGTGCTCTAATGCCAGTCTAATTAGAAAGCTATCTAGTAATTTGAGTTGAAAAAACCACATACAGTAAAGCAGCAAAAGGAATATTCTCCTGGAAATCCAGAGAGGTGATTAGCATTGAAGAATAATACAGGTTCAGAGAAGGTGTAAGGGGTAAAGTAAGAGAGAAAGAATTCTGGACTGAGAAAAGAGAAATTTTGGCACTTTCAACACAATTTAATTTTAAGGAAAAGAGCCAGCAAGGGAATTAACAATAAACAGGTCTGGTTTGGAAGTTAAATTTTTTACTAAAAAAAAAAAAAAAAATGGAAATTTTTGTTACCAGAAGTGAAACTCCAGTGAATTAGTACTACTGAAAAATAATACTTGTACACACTTAAAGGTACAGTGTCCCATTCCCCCTGCTCCCCGTAAAGAACATGGCTCAGAGTGGCTGAATTGCTCCTACCATTGCATGTGGAATATCCGTCTGTCCAGGAAGGCTGCTGGTGGAGTAGATTGCTGCCGGAATTGATACTCATTCTGCCAGCTCCTTCCAAAATCATGATCTGTAAGTGAATCAAACAGCTTGCTTAGTAAGCTGTGTCTAGTCCAAGAGGTAAATGGCAAAAAAAAAAAAAGAAAATCCGCTGAAGGTGAAGTAAGGAGGCCAATTCCATCTGTAGAAGATACAACTGAAATCAAGAACATGTTGACACAACCCCTTTTCCACTGCCACAAAATCTCCTTATGATAAACATTACCATGATTAATTTGCATATGCAAGAAGCAAGTTTCTACAGCTGCCCATCCATAAATGAATAATCTGTAATCAGAAAAGAAGCCGAATGAAAAGACAAGGCTCCTGACAGAGCAATACATGAAAACTGCCAAGCTTTGAGAAATAAAATACCAAATAGTTTTACTTTTTTTTCATTTTCAAAGAGAAATGTAATTTAAACATGCTTTTCTTTTTTTTTTTCTTTTTCTTTTTTTTTTTCCTTAGGAGAGAGAAAAGACTTTTCAATAACTTCAGATCTCTAGAGCTGACTACAAACCATGCTCAGAAAATTCTTCACACAGAAGGACACACATAATAATGCTATAGGGAGGTAGCATTATAAGGAATATATTATCAGCTTCTTATCTAATCTTTGTCAGCAGTGTCTATAACACTTCTTGGTAACAAATATCCCAGATCATACATTTCAGATCACCAAAAAGATTAGACAGTCAGAGATCTTATAAATGAGACAGCCATTGTTGTAACAGAATTAATATTTCCGAGTGACACCATCCCAAAGACAGCATTCTCTCTTTTAAGAGACGCAAACTCTCTTTACCACGTATCTTAGCATTAGCACCATGAGAAAAATTGTCCTTTATTTTTTTATACTTAAAAAAACCCTATTTGTATGATATTTCAGAAAATGTCACATGCTTAGCACATGCTTAATCATTTCAGTGGAAGTATACAAAATTCCCCAATGACGGGTGTTTTTTAAAATTATCTTTCAGTGGTTTAAAGTTTCAAATTATAAAAGTATACATTATAACTGTAGACATCATTTGAGATGGGGATAGTAATTTGTTAAACATTATAAAGGCTTTGGATTGTTATTCTTATATAAATAAAAACACACACACACACACAAACAACAAAACCAAACCATTGTTCGAAAATATTCTAAGTCGAAAGCCGCAAAGTCCATAAAAACAAAACATTAGACATCAGGATGGCATGCGCACGCAACCAGGCTTCACCTTGGAATTAAAAACATTATGAAATACAAAATGGACTTGTGAATGTTGAAGTCACTGGTCATGGCTGTTTATCCACTGAGGCTAATGAAAAAGCTTCCATTGAGAGCACAGCCTGACCTCCTACAAGCTCACACCAGCATTTTTGGTAAAAGAAAAGGAGACAATAAAACCACTTACAGCCTTGGTTTTAAAGGAACAGTCTGAAAACAACCTGGAGTGGTATCTCTTCTTCCATCCCATTTCTCTACTGCTTTATATATTTGGAACGGGAGAGGGGGAGAGAGGTTACTGACAATTGCTTAAAAAGCCAAAGCCTTAGGAAGTTTATCACAGGGAATGGTGCTTTACAGTATTAACTATTTTAGCTTTTTTTTTTTTTTTTTTTTGTAGCTAAACAGAACGGCAAGATCAAACCTGGGATGATTTAGCAGTTGTTTTCCACTTATTATTCTAACCAATGTGTAATTCAGTGATCACTAGCAGGAGAATTTAATTTCTCATGGTAGGTATACAGGGTTGTAAAATATTAACTGTTTAGAGAGATACGTATGATATGTATTGTCCCACTGTGGCCAAATAAAAGACGACTATCATATCAGTCCATACATTTATGCAAATTAAAAGACATTTTTTAGCACTATGTAAAGGCTTCACTTAGTTTCTGAGGAAGAAAGTGTAAGGAAGGATTTTAATTTCATATAGTGATTATAAAGATGTTCAGCATATAACATGTATATAAATTATATACTTGATGTGTAAGAACTTTAAAGAAATAATATATGTTTGGCAGCCAATACATACACTTCTGAGGTTGTACAGGTTGATGATGTATCAAGTTATTTCTTTAACTTTGGTTTTAATCATTAAAGACAATTAGGTATGAATAAATGAAGTATTATTGAACAAGACCTTATTACAGTATCAAATAGAGGTAAGCTAGAATTCCAGCTATTCTGGGAAAACTATAAAACTTGAAGATTAGCAAAACACACTTAGGAACCTAGTTCAGTAAATTCTCTTATTTCTAAAAAATTATAATATCTACTTAATTAAGTTTAAATCTATTGATCTGAAGTCTTATTTACAGAAGCTATCATCAGAATTTCAAGTATTGTGTTATGTGGTTTTGTATTCTGCAACTTCTGCAGTTTCTGGAATTCTACAGTTTTTGTAACTGTTACTTTTGAAAATATAAATGCATCTGGGAAAACACGTGTGTATGAAATGAAATTATTTCTGTGTTCAAGCTCCTGTGCAATTTAGCCCTGAAAATTCGGTTCAGGTAAACTCTCATTTTTCCTTCTTCATAACTAATCAGGTGAATTTCCAATCCAGAAATCCTATGACACTTTGACTTGGCAACTGAAGCTATGGATAGTTAAATAAATTAAATCATGTGTTGTGCATAGTTTTTTCAATCCAGCAGTAACTAAACCCAACGCACATTATAGATCTGATTAGAATCACTCTGACAGCCTTTCTCCTAGATTTGGATTTCAGATATTTTCCTTTAAAAAGTTCTCTCTATGTCACAGCCTAGCAAACAGTTGCTTTTCACAGTATCCCTAAACAGCATTAATAGTATTTTCAGATAACGTTCATGGAACTTTCCCTAAAAGTTAATCAATCAACACATCCCAGTTTTGGAAGCTATATAAGTTATCTCAACCAGAATAACTTTCAGTATCATCTGTAGGAGAGAATTTTCAATATGACATTAATCATAGATACAGGACTGGATTTAGCTTTAACCCAAACTTTACTTTGTTCTGTGTATTACTCAAGGAACAGGTGTTTCAGTGTTTTGAAAACTGTCACATCACCTCCTTTATCTTACTGCAAGGGTGTTGCTTATTTGGAAGTCATTCTAGCACTTTGTTCAGGAGGTGTATAAAGTCCTACTATTATAAATTCCACACCTTTCCTTGGAATCATACAGCATTATGCTCAAAAATATTTATCAAAATCTAAACTGTGATTTTCTTCATGTCATCCCATATATGACTTCCTTTACTAAAAGTTCATGGAAGATTTTTGCTTATATCAGTGTATCGTGCCATATTTGGAAAGATTTTGAGTCAGGATATTGGAAGCAGTATGTTCTTCATTCGTTTAGAACCAAATGCTCAATTCTCCCTGGTGTACAGACAAACCTGCATAAAGGGTATGAAACCTCAAGGGGAAGGACACATAAGATGTTCACTTTTAATTATATTCCACGTATCAAAGTGAATGGTGGAACTAATGAAGCCTTGTTTCCTATGAATGTGTATCTTGTGGTTGGATTCTCTAGTGTCTAGTAAGATGTGAGTGCTGATTGAAGTTTTTCCCACGGTTGGGGCATTCATAATATCTCATTGTCTCAAAGGAGTGAGCTCAAGCATCACTCTTTCTTTCAGATCGAGTATTAGTGGATTTCCTTCTGTACTTGGCAGTCAGTTTTCACTAACCCTTTAAAAACATCGTATCTCTGAGACTTCTACCCCCATATCAAATTTAATTAAAATTGGCAATGAAAGTCAAAGATTGTTACAGTCCAAATGCAAAAGCCAAAACACAGACCGAATAACCACAAGTGCCTCATTTCCTTAGGAAACCATGTTAAAAAGGGGTTCTAGCTGAGCTGAGATTTTGGAAACAATATGAAGACCTTGAGGTATGTCTCTGTACTAAGACATGGTACATTATAATTGAAAGCACATATATATACGAGTATATACTCACATGTGTTTTTATACACATACATCACACACATGCTCCTCTATGTTTGTGCATTTCAGGTGACTGTACACACATCTCCATTCTGTTTCACTGAAGAGGAGCTGCCTCTGGAGTATAATCTTATAACACCACTAGAAACACTACACAGACACGAGAGGAAGCAAATAACACTTTACTCGATCAGCACAGTTAAATATAGTTGTGCATTGGTGTTCAGCAAAATTCTTTCTAGAGTCAGTCCTATTCGAAGGGATGAATGCATTTTAAAAAAATAATCATTCGTCTACATTCAATATATCAGGTGGTACTCAAAGACTAAACCCTGAAGGCTTCTCTTAGTGAAAGCTCTCACTGGAGTCTGAAGGAGTGTTGGCCAAGTCACAACCCAGCAACCTGGCAGTAACAGGAGATCATTTACTCTGCTCTTCTTGCCTTCCTTGACCACCTGACCACTCTGAGTAAACAGCAGTAATGGAAAGAACGAGGAGCCATGGCCTGCCCATGGAGCAAATCCAGCATTGCAGAAAAACATATTTACAGATCCTTGAACCTTGAACACTGCATAGTGCACTCTATGCAAATTATTTTATTGCACTACAGGTGTGCTCTGAAAATAAGTGACTCTGATAGCCATTTCCACATTCAACCCAATAAGTCCTAACATCCATATAATGAGTTTCTCCTTTCTTTGAACCAGAATCTATCAAGAACAACTCCTATTAAATGACAGGAAAATTCTGAACACAGAATGAAAAGTAAATGAGCAGTAGAGAGAAAGTGAATTAATCCTAAAATAGTAAAACCAGAGTGATTGTTCTGATATCAGTTTGTATAGTTGCTTATGTCACGACTCTGAACTGAATTAAGAGGGTGAGGAGGGGGGAGCCCATAAAGGAAGTGGTCTGAAGTCCTCTCATTTCTAAAGCCTTGCACTCTATGCAAAACACAAAAATGATGTCTAGGGCAAAACCGACTGAAACTGCTAAGCCATGACTCCACCTGTAAGCTATGCAAAGTCTAAGAGTGACTTCTAGCTGAGACAAGCTCAGTGCAGCTCCTCCTGGCGTGTCCAAAAGGGTGGATC